TTCTTGTTGTACTGGGATAACGTAAATAATAATAATTTAATTTATAGAGCACTGTTAACAAACATGATGTAGGCTCAAGGGGCTGTGATAACATTACAAACATAAAGATTAAAGTTGAAATGACAAACTGATCTAAAAAAGTTTTTAACAGATAGATCTTAATGTTCTTTTTGAATGTAGCCTAGCATGTGGTCTGTCTAAGATCTATGGCAAACCGTAACTTTTGAGGGAGAATAGTGGCACCACTAGAAGCATTCAGTCCATTGAGCACAGAGCTCTCTGAGGGAGATATGGAGTGATCATTTGGCTAAGATACAAGGGCATTTCTTAATTGTAGATGCACTAATGACAAAGTGTGGCCACCTTGTTGGCGATTTTCAAATATCTTAAAGATTTACAGATAAATAAAAATAAATTCTCGTGGTACTTGGACACAGTATACATGAATTCTAGTGGTACTGGTATATAGTAAATATCTTATATAGGCTTGTTTCACTTACACATAAGCACCAATGCATACTCAAATGGACAGGAATGATGATATATTTCTTGCTGAAAATATCCACATTTTTGGTCCATCTTTTCACTGCCGAATGGCCTCCAGACATTATTTTTGGATAAAAAAATGTGTTGAAGGCGTACACTTTATTATTACTTTTCTCTCCTCTCTCCATCAGCATGTTCATATAGAAATTGATGACCTGCAAGTAGAAACAAACCATTTTTAAACATATGGGACTTTTTAATAGGAACAAATAGTCTTATTTTTTAACCCATTAGCTCCTTCTGCAGTTGGAAACATTTTCCCGTTTTAGTCCTAAACCGCTGTAGAACATTTCTAGAATACCCTATTCAATATACTTGCTTTAAACTTTTTAAAAAGATTTCTTCTAGTCTCATTGCAAGCGTGATTTCAAATCATTTTGGACATTACCAATTCTATTTTTAATAAAATCTGGAAGATTTTTATTGGTTAAATAATTGTTCAAATGAACAGGCCCATAGCCACAGTGTATAAGCGTCCCCATGTGGGAAAATGGGTATTTTTAAAGCTTTTTTTATATTCTAATAATATTAAAAGTATATATTTTTTTAAACTAGACATATCGTTTTATTTTTAAGTTGTTTGTTTATATGTATTAGATCTTAAATTTGATTATTTTTTCCCCCAAAATTTTTTTTAAGGATTTTAAAAATTCGGAATTATTCCTCTTTGTTTAGGGCCTGGAAAGGGTTTTTCTTAACCGGAAATAGGAACTTTTAGGTTAAACATCTAATTAATTAAAATTAAAACATTTATATAAAAATTAATCCTTGAATGTATATAGCTTCTTAAATCCACACAAAAAAAGTTGTTATACCCATATACTTTCTATATCTATCTAGGGGGAAGTAACACTGGCTCCAAAAATAAAATGTTTTTCTAAATTTCATTTCATATTATTTTTTTGTTTATGTTTTATAAACTTTTGAAAGACCTATTCTCAGTTTCTGTAACCATTATTTAAAAAATGATCAATCATCTTTCTCCAATATGTTGAGCACTCATTAAAGTTGCTTATATACTGTAGAACAGAAAAGTCTTTCTAGTCTGAAATAGAATTCAAACATAAGACCCATAGATTAGCAGGTCAGCATTTCAGCCATTCATTCACCCAGTTAATTAATCTAGGTATAAATCACTAATAATCATCCAAAGTGATAAAACTATTACGCCAACATGCATAAACTGACTAAGAAGAGAGCACCTGGTTGCATGGGGCTTTAGAACAAGACAGCTGGAGGTCACTTAAAAAGGCAGTGGGATACACATTTGAGACCAAAAGAAAATCTGCTGCTGATGACAGACATATACTGCAAAAAGAACATCTAGATCGACCACCAGCAGACAATGACTATGCCTGCACTAGATGTGGCAAAATATGTAGGTCACAGCTGCGTAGCCAATAGAAATACTGCATTCCTTATTTATCTCCAGACTCGAAGATAAGCCTTATTATTATTACTGCTTATAATAATGTCCAGTATGTTTTGCATCAAGTTCTAGCATAAACTTTTGTTTTTTATTTTAGAAAGTATTTAAAGACAATAAAATGCATAAAGATATAAAGTGTTGATATTTGTAACTGAGAAAGGGTAATAGTTTACTACCATAGTAATAAAAACAGAAAAAAAAGCTTTCAATGTCATGTGCTACAGAATATACCGTATTTTTCGCCGTATAAGACGCACTTTTTCTTCTCCAAAACTGGGGGGGAAAAGTTGGTGCGTCTTATACGGCAAATACACATTTTACATGCATTAAAACTGCCCCCAACTTTGTGTGGCGCTTACTCGCAGTCCTTTCCTTATGCAGTGTGTGCTGCGGGCTGGATTTGGGGCACGTACTGTGGGCTGTGGTGACTTCTGTGACCCTCCCTGCACGGCCAGGCTGTGTGTGTTCGGGCTTCCCTCTCCCTCCTATAGCGCGCCATGCCCCCCTCCCGACAGTCTAACCATGTGCTGCACGGGCATCATGCTGAGCTTACTGCCGGTACACACCGCCCTCCCTACGTCATAATGTGCCGTCTGGGTAGATCACAGACAACGTGTATGGTGTATGTGAGAAAGTGATCAGGCGGACCAACTAGTACAGTATTTGGTTCAGAATCTTTTTTTTCTAGATTTTCCTCCTTTAAAATTGGGTGCGTCTTATATGCCGGAGCGTCTTATACGGCAAAAAATACGGTACTAGAGTGAATGAAAAAAATAATAATTTCTAGATCTATTCACTAGTCCAAGAAGTTTTGTGCTGACAGCTTTTGATTGCTAAATATAAAATGCAGTAAGGGTAAAATGTTGGTATGTTTAGGTAATTTTATTGATTAGGTTTAACAAACATATTCTTATTGCAATTTGGATTTGTGAAGTTTTTATTGAATTTATGAATTAAAGTGCTCAGGATTTGTTTTGTTCTTTATTCATTTTGAGCTCAAGTTATAATATGAGGGCACTGAACAATGGAACATATAATTACAACTGAAATAAACTCAATAAAAGCTTAATATCACATAGGATGTACAGAGCTTTGACAATGTCTTTAATTGAACAGAAGATGCCAGCCAGCTTACCTCATCATTCAACCAGTTCAGGCCTTTCAATGTAGCCAGATCTCTACGAGTGATTTGTAAACGGAATGCTTCTGAAAGTACTTCATTAGGATTGCCAGGCCCCAATGAATAATTAATAACTTGATCCATCTCTTCCGTCAACACTGAAAGGAAAAACTTGATAGTTTAATAAATGGCAAGGTTTCAGCTTTTTCTTTATTACTCTCAAAAAAAAAAAAAGTAGCTTGAGTCATAAAGGTGCCAATTTTCAACTTTCTTATACTGAAAGTCAAGTTTTATGATCATTTTAAGTCTAAAAAAGTTGTCACTAACATTAAGCCAATTGAGAAAAAACTAAAACCAACCTGGTAGCACTTCCTCTTCTTCTTCTTCACTCTCTTCTCTAAATATTTCTTCTGAAACCCCTGGTTCATCATCAAATATCCTCATTTGGTATTTCAACTAAAATAAACATTCTGCTCAATTAATACATGAAAAATACAAAAATAAAATGAACAAAAAAAAAAAATACCCAATATTATAAAAAAAAACAACAACAACAGACAAACAATATTATGAACAGAAAAAATATAAAGATTATCTTAATGAACTAATTACAAGTACAGCTACTGACATATTTAAGAATAAAACTATAACTTACCTTTTTTTCTAAACTCAGTTCTTGAGCTCGACGCTGAAAATAATAATAAAATAATAATACACATTTCCTTTTTACCATGTTTTTTTTTAAATAATACTTTTCAATAGACTACATACATATGTACAGCACTATTTGGATTGCATTCTAAAAGAAACTAGTTAGAAAAAAAGAAAAACCTTTTCTCTGTATGCAGCCGCTTTAAGCTCCTCCTCTTCTATTAAACGAAGTCTTCTTTCTCGTTCAAGCACCCGCAGTCTTTCCCTGAAATTCCATAGATTTAATACTAACATGCTTTTGTCTTACTCATCTATTAGCTGTCAATTATTTTTCCACATGAGCATATATAACCAGCACAAAGTTTTCATTCTTTGTTAACTTGCATCAATAATACAATTAGCCACCCCAGTGGATCTGATATTTGGTAAACAATGAAGGTCAAAAGGCAGGTTTCAATTTTTTTTGGCATCATGAACATATGGCATAAGGGAGTTAATAACATCATGACAGCCCTTTCTTTTTACATCAATATGTAATTAGTGACCAATTATTATAGTTGTAATTGTTAATTTAAGAAAAAAGTGTTTTTTGAGTTAAGAAAAATGTATGAAAAACCATTATATCAGAAACTATAAATAAAAAAACTAAAACTGTGTTCCACAGAACCTAAGTATTCTGCAAGGTGTTCCACGAATTACTGGAATAGTTAACTAGTAGGCCACCACGTTAATTAACGCTCTAAAAATTGATAACGTGTTCCGATAAATACTCAGAATGTGTGACGTGTTCCGTTAAGGAAAAGGTTTGGGAAACAGTGTAATTTAAACAAAGAAGCTATTTATAAAAAATCACTTTATCGATGGACAGCATCATTTTGACTTGTTTCTTGTTTTAAAAATGGTGTATCAGTTTTGCATATTTAACTTTAAAATCAAAAGGGTTTAATTTTGTAGATCTAATGACTAAAAGTAGAATTGAATTGAAGTTGGACTTTACAACAGAGATTTTAGTTTTAGAGGTATGTGACAGATGTACAGAGAGACTGCTCAAAACTAACAGTAGTGATTCCCATTTCATTTACAATTTGTGTATTGTCCTGTATAAAACAGAGCTATTCCTTCAGACAAAAAGAAGAGCATCCTTTTGATGTCCAAACAATAAACAACTCGTCACATAGCACGCTAAGGATTGACAATGGAATGTAAATAGATTCACTTACTTAGCTTCCATTTCTTTATCATCAAAGTACTTGGACTGTTGGAAACATTTTCTGTCTCTAATAAAATATTAGGAAAAAAAGAGGATCGAAATTCAAATACAAAATTTCTGTAATAGTCAGTATTGTCCTGTATAAAACAGAGCTATTCCTTCAGACAAAAAGAAGAGCATCCTTTTGATGTCCAAACAATAAACAACTCGTCACATAGCACGCTAAGGATTGACAATGGAATGTAAATAGATTCACTTACTTAGCTTCCATTTCTTTATCATCAAAGTACTTGGACTGTTGGAAACATTTTCTGTCTCTAATAAAATAATAGGAAAAAAAGAGGATCAAAATTCAAATACAAAATTTCTGTAATAGTCAGAAGATTGTGAACAATTATTCAATTTACTCAACTTACCTGATATCTAAAGAGTCATGATTCAATGCATCTGAAACAGACAATTATTTAAAATATTCTACAAACATATAAAATAAATCAATTTAAAAAAATAACATAAAAATAATGACAATAAGTGAAATCATAGATCTCACTATATGCTTATTTTATTAATGCTATTGTCTAAAATTCATTGCTACCTTTTCTTAGTATTTAATTTAATAAACTGAAATGCTCAAATTCAAACTTAAAACAAACAAAAAAAAAATTTCATTAAAAAATAATGGAATCACAACATAGAAATCATTTAAAGTTTTAACTAATGACCTTTGTTTGAAGCATCTTGGGCTGGTTCATCATCATCATCATCATCTAGAATCACAACAGCATCAGATGTAACATTAGTGACCTTCTCAGGCAGGCATTTCTTGTTTTCTGCAACTTTGTGAGACTCAAATAATTTGTTGACAGAATAAGGTCTACAATAAGGAGTTTCTAAATCTTTTAGTTTGGACTGATTGTTTGAAGTCACAGGAGACTTTTCTTTTAATCTAGAATGACTGTGGACAGGAAGATTAAAAGTTAAAATTCTGTATTATCAAATAACAAGCAAGCTGTTCTTATAAACGCCTAACTCACAGCTGCAGTTCTAGATACAAAGACAATGTTGAATTTATAACTAAACACTACACTTAAGTTACAACTACTGCCACTGATAATGAAGAAAAACTTCTCACCTGACATAAATACCTTGGGGTAAAATTCGTCTAGAAGAAATGCTAGATATTGAGTGGACAGGTGTATCACATGAACTGATTTGATTTAGTTTTTAATGGGAAAAAAAAAAGAAATAAAATTTCTAAAATTTTTTGACAATTTTAATTATATATATTATACAAATTAAATTTAGCATTACATTAAGTGTAACAAGAGTAATACATTTTACAAAGAGAAAGATATCAACCATGACCTATAAAAATAGTAAAAGATGACTCACCTACTTCTGGAAGAGATTGTACTTGAGTCTAGATCTTTTGCAGTACATGTGCTGAAGTCATGTGGTGTTGAATTTTTTTTGGACCAAAGTGGTGCACATTGCCGCTGGAGAAGCTTTTGATACTCTGCTTTTTCATTCAGCCGAATACATTTAGTAATCTTTATAAGACACCAGAGATCATTTATTCAATTGCAATAGATGCTATAAATAAATTCAATGAAAGTTGTTTATAAACAATTTATAATCTTTCAGCAAAAATTTTGAATTTCACTAAAAATGTTGATGCATTTATTTACACTTCATCAAAGTGTACGTCTGTAGAAGATAATCATTGAAATAATCAGAAAATGATCTATACATTTTTTCTTTTGAGAGACTCGTGCAGTTCAAGGCTTTTAACATATTTCAATTTATAATTAAAATGTATCCAAAATTTAAGTGGTAGTTTTAAAATGTTACTTAAATTTTAAACATTCTATTTAGTTTAATGACTATTTTATCAAAGTAACTCACTGTGCAAGGTTGAACTCTTTTAAAAAAAGTGAAATGCCTTTGTTCAGAATCTTGTTTAGTTTTCTCCAAGACTCCATTTTTTAGCCCATGATTTAATTCTGTTTGAAAAATTGAATAACAACCTACATAAATGCCCTCTGCTTACATTCACAGCTAGATAGTAATCAAGCATCAAAATTATTATTATTATTGCATTTGTAGCTCATTTTTTCTCATAAAGTTACTTCCCTTTTACTAAAACATTGGTCAAGATCTAGATAATCAGTTATGTGGTGGTGGACTATTGTGTATACACCATTTTCTGTTGTATATAAACATCATTATTTAATTGACTACCTTTAGCTGAGTAGCTTGCCTAAATTTACAACTCGTGTCAGAGTGGAATTACGGCAGATCAAGGAAAAGGAAGAAAGATAAAAACTAGTTTTGTAGAGGAGTTAAGTGTCAAGGAGCTTCATGAACACTTATGATTGATTAGAAAGAAAGAAGCTTTATATGACCAGTTAGAGACGCCCTGGAAGGCTCTAATCAGGCATTATTCAGATTCATAACTTGTCTAAGATGGATGAGTGTCTTTGTTGTTATATCATCTTTATTAACATTCCCATCTAGGAGGCATGGTGGCTGAGCGGTAAAGCGCTTGGCTTCCAAACCAAGGGTACCAGGTTCAAATCCTGGTATAAACTGGGATTTTTGACATTATGATCTTTGGGTGCCTCTGAGTCCACCAAGCTCTAATGGGTGCCTGACATTAGTTGGGGAAAAGTAAAGGCGGTTGGTCATTGTGCTGGCCACATGACAGCCCGTTAACCATAGGACAGAGAAATAGATGACCTTAACATCATCTGCACTATAGATCACATTTATATACTTATGAATTCATGGGGGGGGGGGGGGGGGGAAAACATTCTAAATGCGTTTTTTTTCAATCTGATTTCCATCATATTTATATACAGCACAATTATCTTTTGCCTATGTGATGCCTCAAACATAAGCTCCATTTTTTTTCGCCCACACACATTTGGGCAAATCCTTGTTTTTATTGAGTTATATTCCTTGTATCCTATGATTGGTACCAAATGCTAGCACAGTGTTCACTTGCCAATTTAACAGGTTTATTTTACATCAGACATTAAGATTTGTATTCACAATGAGACTCTAATCCACCTCCTAAAATCATAGTTATTTAATCTAGCATGTCTTGCAACTCCCTTTACTGGATTCAATCTACTGTTAGACATTCCTTGTATATTATTATCTCCCTATGTAACAATCATTCTGCTAATATTATGCATATCTGACTGATATGCTTGAATCATGATAAGAAGAGCTGAGCTCCACTGTGAGATGATCTCATTGTTTATCCTTTCAAGGCTTGGTTGTAGTTTTACACTAGACAATTCCCATCAGTTCAAGGCTTAAATCTATCACTTTCTCAACTGAACCAGTGTCAATAATCCTTATGGGGTATAATTAATCCCTGAGGATACACTTGGCAGGAAAATCTCAGCATCAGAGACTTAAAAAGCCCAGTTGCTTATAGGTGGGTTAACTGTTAAGGAGTGTTATAGTTTCCTAGCACAAATAAAGGGAACAGACACATAGTTGATTATTAATAAATATAAACAATTACGTCTCGATATAAACATAATATATATATATATTTATATTATATATATATATATATTTTGTATACTAACCTCTCGAACCACCAGAAATGTGATTTGGATTGAATCTTTTGTACTAAAAGGAAAAAGAATACAAACACTAGCACTTTTATGTTTTTAAAAATCTAATGTATATTTCATTTTAAAGTACTAAATGGAGCTATTTATTGATTTATTATTCTGTTAATGATAATGAAAGTGATTCAGTTAATGGTGCTAAGTTGCATTACTAGGGAAACAAAATGTGCATCTCCATGTTTTTAGCCAATTTAAGTTTCTAATAGACAAAGTTTAAAAAAAAAAAAAACTTTACAAAAAAAAAAAAAAAAGCTTATATGAATTGTATCAATTAGTTTGGATCAAACATGTCATTAAATTTGTAATAGATCTAGAGCGACAACAATAAATCTGTGAGATAATCTTTACTTGTGTTTAGCACTATTTGATGCTTTTAGCTTTCTAAATACGCTATGATCCTATCACTTATTTAAACAAGTTTGGAAAATGGGGGTGGAGAAAGAAAGAGCCATCTGGGTGGATTTGAATGTAATAAAAAAAAAGGGAACATCAATTCGAACACCTCGGGACAATGTGCTAACCACTCTGCTAGTGAGGTACTTATGTCCAGAGAAGACTGTATAGTTATATATTGTTTGTTTCAGTTTAGAGCGGTATCCTATAAAAGGGAATAATTCAGCTTATACTACCACTTCAGTCAAGTACAATTTCTTTCCCTTGTTCAAGATACCTAACAAAATAATTAGTAACTAATAGTTAATTAACAAATTGTTATAATTTTTTTAATTGATTCTTGTGTTGTCAGGTAAAAAAAAATAGTGAGAAATTTCAGCATGATCCGACATTGGGTGTTGGAGAAATAATGTGTGCAAACTTTTTACTATACAGACAGAGTGAGTTTATATTTAAAAAGCTTAGCAAAAACAATCTACAAAAAAAATCTTACTTCTAAGTTTTTCTCCTCTTTATTTGTACAAGTCTGTAGACTGGTGCCATTTCTCTCTGCTGCTGGCCTTTCACTCCATCTACTGTGAGGTTCAACAGGCTGGACATTAAAATCTTTCTGAAAGCTGTGTTTTGGTTTTATAAAATGTGCCATCTTGGCTGCTGATCTTTTAAATGTTTCTAATGGAAACACTGAAAGTTAAATGAAACAAGGATCTTAATCACAATTTAAGTGAATTTTAAGAGGCTGGTTGTAATCATGAACTATGAAATATTTATAAGTTTGTGCAGCAGAAAAGATTTAATTTTGTAAACTGTATGAGGCAATTTTATTTCTATTCTGTTTTCAATTTTATCTCCTTAACTGCTAGAGAAAAGAAGAGGGCATGAAATGGCATTAGTTCATATTCTATAAAATATATATATGAAGATTTACTGCCGCTCGCTATGGCATGGTGGCATAATGGTATAGTGCTTTAGTGCATGGCTTCCAAACAAGTGGACCTAGGTTTGAATCCTCAAAGACTGGGATTTTTTTTTATCTCTTTGGCCGCCTCTGTGTCCACCCAGCTCTAATGGGTACTTGACTGACAATAGTTGGGTAAAAGTAAAGGCGGTTGTTCGCTAAGCTGACTGCTTCACACCCTTGTTAACCGTAGCCCACAGAAAAATATGACCATTTTTCTTTTTACACTATGATGTAGAGTAGAGTAAGCGTTGCACCTCACTAACTATGCTGATTTAAAAA